TGTCCAGCATCATCTAGCCCATTTCAATAACAGAGGCTCAGCATAACATGTGAGCAATGCCTTGGCAGTCTTCCCTGGAACATCCACTCTCTCCCAGTTGACATCCATACATCAATACTTTTTTCTTTTACAAAAAATGTTATTATAGAATAGATAAGAACAACGAATCAGTCAAAAACAGATACATTGATCAACAGGATTAAAACATAGAAGGTATGCGATGCATATTACAAGATACATACTGATGGAGAGACATAAGAATAAGTAGCATACTGAAGTGCCGAATCCAGAAAGAGGTATAAAAAAGGGGAAGAAAACAATAAGTTGCAAAAATTGGAAACGTTTATAGACCAATGAGAATTTCAACTCTAAGGAAAAATTTGCACTATATCAGCATATAGAAAGCGGAGATGATATGGGATGGAACCTCTCTGAATAAAAATGGACATTCCACACGCAGGGCTCCTGAAGGAGTCCAGCATAAGGATATGGTATTGATAGCGCGGCACTCAAAAGCAATAAGCACAATCAGTACACATGACATGAAAACAGACTAGACAAAAGGAAAGAGAGGAACGAAGAAGAAGGAGACGAAAATGAAAACAAAAAGGGCTCCAGGGGGACCGCAGCAGAAAAAAAAAAAAAAAAAAAAAATTGATATGTAAATTTTATATCAACAGAAGGGACTGGTCGAATCTCGATGGTTGGGATATATCAAGCCAGGGACGCCATGTCTGCAGGAATTTTGTGTGGGAGTCCAACAGTATAGCCGTCAATTTTTCATTGACCATTATGCAGTTCATCCGGCTTTTGACAGCTTCAAAGCTGAGGAGGGGAGTCTTCCAAGCCCTTGCGATCGTCAGCTTGGTAGCCATAAACAGCTGCCGTTCGGGACGAAGTAGGCCCACTAGTGGTTTAAATAAAAGCGCCTCATATGGGTTGCGCTTAATGTGTGTGAAACATAGTACAGAGAAGGGCATAAACTCTGATCCACAATCTACAAACCTTAGGACAAGTCCACCAAATATGTGCCATAGTACCCACTTGTTGACAGCCCCGAAAACAAGTCGCGGAATATGTTCGGATAAAACGAGCCAGACAAGCAGGCGTGTAATACCATCTGTAAAGGACCTTATAAGTATTTTCTAATATGATAACATTCCTAGAGCATTTAGATTAACTCTTGGGTCATGGTCCGCCAATCCTGTTGATCCAGGGTGCCTCCGAGTTCTGACTGCCAACGCTGATGATAAGAACGGACCGGGGGAGTTCTAGAAGAAGTAATAGAAGAGTAAACCAGAGAAATTAAGCCCGGAGCATGGGGTCTATGTCTACAGTGGTTTTCAAAGGGTGACAACCTGTAGGGTCCTGAGTGCGTCTGTATTAACGTATTGATGAAGTGGCGGATTTGAAGATAGCCATAATGTTCCCGCAATGGGATATCATGAGAGGAGCGCAGAGTTTCAAAGGTGAGTATTCGAGTGGGAGATAGCATGGAATGTACATCATGGAAGCCGTGTGCTTGCCACCAAGCAAACTGTCCAGGGTTATCCTGACCCAGGGGGAATAACATCAATACTTTTTTTATATTGTAACTCCTCCCATAAGCCAGCTTACTGCTTGCATCAGTACTGAGGGCTCTTGAACAGCGTGTTGAGGCATGTGCTGTGATGTTTTCAGGAAGCTTTGTACAGTACCCTGCCACCCCTTCCCACCAGCCACGATCTGCCTGCATTGCATAGAAAAGTATGGACACCCAGTTATAGTTTTACTGGATATACAAAAATGTTTCTAATGAAATTGCCAAGGATTCTTTTTTAAAATATTTAATCAGCATGTTGATGAGGAGGGAAAAGGAGGAACCAAGGTAAAATATAATCAGAATTAACTTCAGCTTTATAGAATGATATATTGGCAGCCATTTATTTTTAACACAGGAAAATGCATGCTAATTTGGAAGTTTGCAATTGATGAAGAATAAAAAATGTCCCCAGCCCTCCAACCTGCTACCCAGCAAAGGGTACTTAAAATAAACTGGTCATGAAATGAATACAAAGACTGCCACTGTTGATCTCCTTCTCTTGACCATATTTACTTGTCTGCTATACTGATTCTTTACTCACAACCTGAAGCAAATATGCTGATAAGGAAAATCAGAGAATAGTTAGAAGTCCTTTATTGAAGGACTGCATTTACCATTATAGTAATCATAGCCTTATGTTTGGGGCAGCAAGGTAGAGGGCAGGGTGGACTGACCATTTGGAAACTCGGGCACTGCCTGAGGGCCTGGGGTCAGTAGGGGGCCCCATGAGATGCCCCTGGTACCTTTTTCATAGGCTTTTTGGAGTTTGGGCAAGGACACAGGGGCCCCATGATCCCCTATTGCCCGGGTGCTCCCATGAGTTGTCAGTCCACCCCTGGTAGAGGGGCAGGACCAAGACTCAAATTAACCAACTGTAATGCTTTCACCTATTTTGTTCATTTCTTCTACCCTTCTCTGGGCATTTGTGGCTACATTTTCCATGACAACTATAAGGGGAATGTTGAGAGGAAGGCTCTTTTTAATTTAAAAAGCATATCTCTTCTTTTTTTCATTTTGTGGTCTGTAGCTGAAAAGTAGCTCTGCATATAAAACAAAAAATTGCTTCCTCATGCAATACATTCTAGCTTTTAGAGTAACTACACTAATTGTGCAACTGTGTAAACAAACCATCACTAAATTAGTATTAAAGTGTTACTAAACCCAGGACCCTGCATTCATTATATCTGGTCTCCCACAGTACACACAACATAGAAATGCAAATATGTTAGTAAATATAAACTGCTAAATACCTTTTTCATTTGCAGTATATAGCAGTCTTGTAATGTCTATCAGTGTTTGGCCAAGCATTGGTTAAAGCTTGTAGGAGAAGTTTTCATTCTGCTCTGACTGTCCTATGAGGCTCCATAACCCTTGACCCTCTGTCTGGACAGTGCTCCTTGGACCTGTGCTGATTGCATGCACCTCCCAAAGAAAAAAGAAACCTCTCTAGCCATACACACTAAACTGTGTATGTGCAAAGTGACTCCTAGAGCTCTGTACGATCAGCAGATGGAATGGGGACAGTAGAAGAAAGGGAGGATCAGAGAAGATAGGATTAAACAGTCTTTTTACACAATGTGGAGAATTAACCCCTTAGGTTCCAAAGTGAGTATAAACAAGCATGCTTTATTGCATATTGTTGGTCTTTTTTTGTTTATAGCGCAAAAAATTAAAAATTAAGAGGTGACCAAATACCACTGAGAAAAGCTCTGTTTGTGGGAAAAAACTACACAAATTTAATTTATGTACAGCATTGCATGACCGTGCAATTGTCAGTTAAAATAACTCAATGCCGGATCGCAAAAAATGGCCTGGTCAGGGAAGGGTGGGTAAAACCTCTAGAGGGCAAGTGGTCAACAGCATGCCAGCAGATTACATTGTAACAAATTCAACAGCAACCACTACTATACTTACTATACTATACTATACTATATACAGCAGGGCAGGCAACCTTAAAGAGGTGGAGATCTCCCTGAACGACATCGGAAAGCCAAAGATCACCGGGTACAGTGTCACCTCCTCACGCCTGATTTAAACCTCTAATTGAAGTACTACCATGTTGCAATCACGTGCATTGCACAGCAATCAGGTGGTGAGGAGGAAACTTATTGCCTGCTCACCACCTGTCAAACACACTCGGATCGCTTTTCAGAGGAACAGCAGTGCCTGCTGCACTTGTGATGAGCCCTTAGTTCCATTTGGCAGCGGCACTCTTAGGGCTCGGTCAAATGTAAAGCAAATGTAGCACCCTTCTAGTTAGGTGCTATGCTAGGTATTCGTGGGTAAATTTAGTTTTTTTTGGGCTCCTGGCTTTCAGAAAGTGCACCAAACCCCACAAAGTCTATGGCTAAGTGCAGTAAACCCACAGGAAATCTGCAGGTACACTGCACTGCACCTGTGGTGTGGGTAAACGCTGCGGTATTAAGAATATAAAAAATACAGGAATATCCATAGCCTGGCCACCGATTTACCATAAATAGGATAAAAAGAATACTTCAAAACTGAAAAAGATATAAAGGGAAATTGTACAGCTTTGGGGTTCATTGTTTTGGGTTTTAAAGGTTTAAGCAAGCTGCTTGATAAGGGGGCACTCAGCAGGAGGGAGGGGACCCGAGAAAAGGAGGATATGAGACCGCTCTGTGCAAAACCATTACTCAGAGAAGGTAAGTATGACAAGCTTGTTCAAAAAAAAAGGAAGCCTTTAATATCACTGTAAGTTGTGATTTATTATTTTTTTACTATTTTTATAAAATCTTTATAAACAAATACAAATTTAATGCAGGGTGCGCCCATGACAGAATTTACAAACCATTACGAGTATGAGTTTTCGTTCACTCTTGATTCCTAATTAAAAATTCCATCATTTCAGAACAGAGCATGCAGGTAGAATGTATTTTCTGACTCATTCACTTGTACTGTAAAACTGTTAGCTTGAGCTGTTGAGCTCTGTAAAAAGGTTTTTTAAGCCAAAAAGAAACGGATAGTCTGGATAACATGTTAAATGAAGATGTGATCTCCTCCTGCCTAGCTGCAAATCTGTCGAATGAAATATTCTTATGCAAAGTTATCATTATAATGGACATTTGGGTGGGTTACTAGATACCCAAAGGGATCTGCAAATTGGTGGCACCTTTGTGAAATGTATTTCTTTCTTCATGCACACCTTGGTATGGATCCAGTTGCACTTGACGTTGTTTTTGGTTGTCTAGGACCTGATGCGAAGAAATGAAAAATTCGATTCGACTGATTCGGCGAATTCGTGGACAATATTCGATTCGAGTCGAATAAATTCGCTGTGAATTTAACTTAAAAAAGGGTGTTTCTAGGCTTCAGAGAGACTTAATATTAGTGCAGAACACTGTACCTTTAATTTAAATGCCCTTGGAGTCTGCTGGGGAAGAGAAATAATACTGTCAGTCAGTATGACATGCAGATGAGTGCCGTCGATCTTAGAATCACCGCACACTTCACTCATTTGGCCAGTCACGGGGCCAAAACCAGTGTTTGGAGCCACAGTGTGGCGGTGGAGGCAGCAGCAATGGGAGGCCATACAGCAACCTATGACAAAATGGAAACCAGCAGGAGTGTGAGGAGACCTGAAAGTGGCACATGGCAGAGTGGGAGCAATGGGAGGCGGTACAGGGACCCAGGTCACACTGTGGGCCCAGCAGCAGCGTGACCAGGCGGTACGGGGGCCCATGGCAGATTTGGGGCCTGGCAGCACCTATGGGAGGCCTGTAACCTGCCAGCAACCTATGACAAAAATGGAAAACCGCAGGAGTGTGAGGAGACCTCAAAGTGGCACATGGCAGAGTGGGAGCAATGGGAGGCGGTACAGGGACCCAGGTCACACTGTGGGACCAGCATCAGCGTGAACAGGCGGGTACGGGGGCCCATGGCCGATTTGACCTCGTTCATCCCATAGTCCTGCCGACTCACGAATAGCGTGGCCTCCTCAAAGGGCCTGAGCAAGCGCAGGTGTCACGCATGAGCTGACAATGGCTGACATCTAAGTTACACAGGGAGTACCTTTATCCGCTTTTAACATCAGGAAATCTGTGATGGCCTTTCGCTGTTCGTAAAGGCGGTCTAACATATGTAGTGTTGAATTCCACCTTGTTGCAACGTCACAGCATGAGGAGTCGGTACGGGGGCCCATGGCAGATTACGTGCCTGGCAGCAGCAATGGGAGGCCCGTAATCTGCCAGCACCCTATGTCAAAAAATTGAACACACCAGCAGTGTGAGGAGACCTGAAAGTGGGCACATGGCAAAGTGGGCACATGGCAGCAGCAATGGGAGGCCGTACAGGGACCCATGTCACACTGTGGGCTCAGGCAGCAGCATGACCAGGCGGTATAGGGGCCCATGGCAGATTTGGGGCCTGGCAGGCACCTATGGGAGGCCTGTAATCTGCCAGCACCCTATGACAAAAAATGGAACACACCGCAGGAGTGTGAGGAGACCTCAAAGTGGCACATGGCAGAGTGTGGCGAAGCAATGGGAGGCCGTACAGGGACCCATGGACACTGTGGACTCAGCAGCAGCATGACCAGGAGGCGGTACGGGGGCCCATGGCAGATTTGGGGCCTGGCAGCAGCTATGGGAGGCCTGTAATCTGCCAGCACCCTATGACAAAAAATGGAACCCTGGGCTGTGGCAGGACCTGAACCGCCGTATCTTTATCATGGTTTCCCAGGCCACCGAATGGCGACGCTGCATTATGCTGACGCAACGCTGTAGTCCCAACATGGGCCCCTGGCCACGCTTGACTTTCTGGCCACATAGTCGACATACGGCTACGTTTACTTCCTCGGGGCGGCTTGACGAAAAATTGGCCACACCGCAGAGGGGCCTGGCAGCACTATGCCTCCCGTAATCTGCTCAGCACCCTATTCAAAAACATTGCACCACTACTGGCAGTGTGAGGAGGCCTGAAAGGAGCTGGTGCACATGGCAGACACTGCTGGCCCTGCTGCCTCCAGCAGCAGCAATGGGAGGCCGTACAGGGACCCATGAGAGACTCTGGACTGGCAGCAGCATGAGGAGGCGGTATATAGGGGCCCATGGCAGATTAGGGGCCTGGCAGCAGCTATGGGAGGCCCGTAATCTGCCAGCACCCTATGTCAAAAAATTCTACACACCAGCAGTGTGAGGAGACCTGAAAGTGGCACATGGCAGAGTGTGGCGATGGAGACAGCAGCAATGGGAGGCCGTACAGGGACCCATGAGAGACTCTGGACCTGGCAGCAGCATGAGGAGGCGGTATAAGGGGCCCATGGCAGATTAGGGGCCTGGCAGCAGCTATGGGAGGCCCGTAATCTGCCAGCACCCTATGTCAAAAAATTCAACACACCAGCAGTGTGTGAGGAGACCTGAAAGTGGCACATGGCAGAGTGTGGCGATGGAGACAGCAGCAATGGGAGGCCGTACAGGGACCCATGAGAGACTCTGGACCTGGCAGCAGCATGAGGAGGCGGTATATAGGGGCCCATGGCAGATTAGGGGCCTGGCAGCAGCTATGGGAGGCCCGTAATCTGCCAGCACCCTATGTCAAAAAATTCAACACACCAGCAGTGTGAGGAGACCTGAAAGTGGCACATGGCAGAGTGTGGCGATGGAGACAGCAGCAATGGGAGGCCGTACAGGGACCCATGAGAGACTCTGGACTGGCAGCAGCATGAGGAGGCGGTATATAGGGGCCCATGGCAGATTAGGGGCCTGGCAGCAGCTATGGGAGGCCCGTAATCTGCCAGCACCCTATGTCAAAAAATTCACACACCAGCAGTGTGTGAGGAGACCTGAAAGTGGCACATGGCAGAGTGTGGCGATGGAGACAGCAGCAATGGGAGGCCGTACAGGGACCCATGAGAGACTCTGGACCTGGCAGCAGCATGAGGAGGCGGTATATAGGGGCCCATGGCAGATTAGGGGCCTGGCAGCAGCTATGGGAGGCCCGTAATCTGCCAGCACCCTATGTCAAAAAATTCAACACACCAGCAGTGTGTGAGGAGACCTGAAAGTGGCACATGGCAGAGTGTGGCGATGGAGACAGCAGCAATGGGAGGCCGTACAGGGACCCATGAGAGACTCTGGACCTGGCAGCAGCATGAGGAGGCGGTATATAGGGGCCCATGGCAGATTAGGGGCCTGGCAGCAGCTATGGGAGGCCCGTAATCTGCCAGCACCCTATGACAAAAAATGGAACACACACAGCAGTGTGTGAGGAGACCTGAAAGTGGCACATGTTTGAGGCATGATTCATGGCGGATTTAGTCAGTTGTGTCAGGAACTGGTGGTTTGAAATCCAGACTAATCCACGCCTGATTCATTTTCACAAACGTGAGTCTCTCCACACTTTGGGTGGACAGTCGTGTCCTCCGCGGAGTTACAATACCTCCTGCCGCACTAAACACGCGCTCCGATGCCACGCTACTGGCCGGCATGACAGCCTTTCAAGGGCAAATTCAGCTAGTTGGGGCCAAAGGTCAAGTTTCGTTGCCCAGTAGTCAAGGGGATTGTCTACCTCGGTTGGCAGGGTGCTGTCCAAGTAGGCCCAAGCCTGTTGTTTGAGGTCCTGCTCCAGGTCCACCTGATGCTGCTGCTGCTGCTGCGGCTGGTTAGTAGTTTTCCTCACTGCGCTGGTGAAGAAAGCTACTCATCATCGACTGCAGACTGAGGCAGCCGCTGCTGGTGGAGCTGCCACTGCTCCTACCACCCCACCCCTCCCCTGCTGCCATGGCAGCGGAACGCGAGCGCACAGGGCCCACAGTGTCTGAGGATGGACGTTGGCGCACAAAGGCAGAGACCAACTGACTACATAGGTGGTTTTTATAGTACGTTATTTTGGCCTCCCTCTCAGCAGGTGTGAAAAAGCCACCATTTTTGAACGGTAGCGAGGGTCCAACAAGGTGGACAGCCAAAAGTCATCCCTCTGTCTGATGGTTATTATTCGGCTGTCGCTACGCAAGCAACCGAGCATGCTATGGGCCATTTGTGCCAAGGAATGCGAGGGACTCCCTGCCTCCATCTCCACAGCATACTGCCACGGTGCGTCTGGGTCCTCTGTCTCCTCCTCCTCCTCCTCTACCAGATGCTCCTGCTCCTCCACTCCTGTCCGCTGAGTGGAAAAACCACCCATTTCACTCAATAATTCCTGAGCACAAATGTCCTCCTCTACCTCCTCCTCTTCTTCCTGTCCTGCCCCCACAGGGGTCATGTGGCGTTGAGATCTGTGCGCCACGTCTACTACCGCACCCTGACCAGCCATTGTTAAACAGCATTTGTTCAAGGACGTGCAACAGAGGAATGACGTCGTTCATCCCATAGTCCTGCCGACTCACGAATAGCGTGGCCTCCTCAAAGGGCCTGAGCAAGCGGCAGGTGTCACGCATGAGCTGCCAATGGCTGACATCGAAGTTACACAGGGGAGTACCTTTATCCGCTTGTAACATCAGGAAATCGGTGATGGCCTTTCGCTGTTCGTAAAGGCGGTCTAACATGTGTAGGGTTGAATTCCACCTTGTTGCAACGTCGCAGATCAGGCGATGATGTGGAATTCCGTTCTGCCGCTGCAGCTCAAGGAGGGTGTGCTTTGCGGTGTAGGAATGGCTGAAATGCATGCAAAGTTTACGTGACATTTTAAGGATGTCTTGCAGTGGGATGGTGGATTTTAGGAACCGCTTGACAACCAGATTGAACACGTGAGCCATGCATGGCGCATGGCACAACCTTCCTTGACGCAGAGCAGACACCATGTTCTTTCCGTTGTCGGTCAACATGGTTCCGATTTTCAGTCATTGCGCGGAGACAGCCATCTGTCGATTTCTCTGTTCATTACACTCAGAAGTTCCTCCCCTGTGTGACTACGTTCGCCAAGGCATACCAGGTGCAGAACAGCGTGACACCGTTGCGCCCTGCACATGTGATATGCCGGTCGGGTAATGGGACTTGGCACGGGGGTGGCGGCTGAGGACACGGCGGAAGAAGAGGTGGTAGAGGCGGACATCTTTGCCGGACCAAGGACGTGCAAACGTGGAGGCAAAAGCGGCGTGACCTGTCCAAGTTGCTGGTGCGGCTGTGACGGCACCACGTTCACCCAGTGGGCCGTAAATGACATGTACTGTCCCTGACCGTAGTTACAGCTCCACACGTCGGCGCTGCCGTGCACTTTGGCAGAGACCGACATGCTCAAAGACTGGCCCACCATGTCTTCTACATGTGAATGCAGGGCTGGCACTGCCTTTTTGGCGAAGAAATGACGGCTTGGCACTCTCCACCGCGGCGCGGCACAAGCCATCATTTCTCTGAAAGGTGCTGAGTCCACCACTTGGAAAGGGAGGGACTGCAGCACCAGCAACTTGGACAGGAGGACGTTCAGCTTTTGCACCGTCGGGTGCGTGCTCGCAAACTGTTGTCTCTTGGAAACGGATTCCAAGAAAGACTGCTGACGGAATCCGTGAAGAGGAGTAGCAGGAGAAGGAGCATCTGAACGAGCGGAAGATGCCAACGAGCGACAACTCCCCTCAGCAGAGGTGTTGGAGCCTTGACTGGCTGATGGAGGGCGATTGACGTCGGGTGACGGAGCAAGTAACGGAGCGGGTGATGGAGCGGGGGCTGGGGCGGGCAGAACCGCCGTATCTTTATCACGGTTTTCCCAGGCCACCAAATGGCGACGCTGCATATGCTGCCGCAACGCTGTAGTCCCAACATGGGCCCCCTGGCCACGCTTGACTTTCTGGCCACATAGTCGACATACGGCTACGTTTACTTCCTCGGGCGGCTTGACGAAAAATTGCCACACCGCCGAGTAGGAAACTTTGCCCCCGATACTCCTCACTGGCTGACTGCTGCTTCCTCCGTGCACACCGGCACCACTACTGGCCGTGGTGGTAGGCTGCTGCAGTGGAGCTGGTGCTCTACTCCGTGGCCGTTTGGCTCCACTGACACTGCTGACACTGCTGCGACCCTGCTGCTGTCTCCTGGGCAACCCACCGACTGTTTCGCTCGCTGCCAAGCTGCCACCCTCTTCTCTCTGATGATGCGGAAGAAATTGCCTGATGACGACGAGGCTGCCAAGTGCGATCAACCTCCTCATCATCAAGTAGGGTCTCCGCCTCACTACTAGCCCCCTCGGCTGCGTCTGGGTCAGGAGACAGACCTGTCTCTAGACCGGCTACCGAGCCACTCTCCTCGCCACTACTTCTTCGCCTGGCTGCTGAAAAGGCGGATGTCTCCCCCCGTTCCTGACCGCCCTCTGTTAGCTCTTCCTCACTGTACAGTGGGGCTGAGCCCACAGCATGCGATACTTCGCTTGGTGAGGGAACACCAAAGGACAGGGGCAGGTAGAGGACACGTGATTTCAGTGGGCTTGGTCCCGGGCCATGCCAACTAACGGTTGTGTCTGACGTACCCACCGACCGTTGGCTGTAGGTGTCAGAGGTGACCTGGGAAGAGGAAGACGACCGAGCCAACCAATCGATGACGGCAGGGTTGTCGGTGGAGACACGACCGCTGGATGACACCGGGAGCACTGGCCTCTGGCTGCGAATAGTGCTGCCTCGACCCCTTCCTCTGCTGCCACGTCTGCTCGCTCCTAAAACATTGCCTCCTCTGCCACTCCTCTGCATGTTGTCTGACATACTCTTTAATTAAACGATTATGTGTCCCTGAGTAACAATTCTGTGTCCCTGAGTAACAATTCTGTGTCTGTGTCCTGAGTAACAATTCTGTGGCCCTGAGTAACAATTCTGTGCCCTAAGTAACACAGTTCTGTGGCCCTCAGTAACAATTCTGTGTCCCTGCGAGTAACAATTCTGTGGCCCTAAGTAACAGTTTCTGTGGCCCCAGTAACAATTCTGTGTCCCTGAGTAACAATTCTGTGTCCTGTGCAGAAGTAACAATTCTGTGGCCCTAAGTAACAATTCTGTGGCCCTCAAGTAACAATTCTGTGGCCCTCAGTAAACAATTCTGTGTCCCCCTGAAGTAACAATTCTGTGTCCCTGCAGTAACAATTCTGTGGCCCTAAGTAACAATTCTGTGGCCCTGCAGTAACAATTCTGTGTCCCTGAGTAACAATTCTGTGGCCCTCAGTAACAATTCTGTGGCCCTCAGTAACAACAGTTCTGTGTCAGTAACCTGCGAGTAACAATTCTGTGTCTGTGCGAGTAACAGTTCTGTGGCCCTGTGGTAAACAGTTCTGTGGCCCTCAGTAACAATTCTGTGTCCCTGAGTAACAATTCTGTGGCCCTAAGTAACAGTTCTGTGGCCCTCAGTAACAATTCTGTGTCTGTGCGAGTAACAATTCTGTGTCTGTGCGAGTAAACAATTCTGTGGCCCTAAGTAACAATTCTGTGGCCCTCAGTAACAATTCTGTGTCCCTGAGTAACAATTCTGTGGCCTCAAGTAACAGTTCTGTCCCTCAGTAACAATTCTGTGTCTGTGCGAGTAACAATTCTGTGGCCCTAAGTAACAGTTCTGTGGCCCTCAGTAACAATTCTGTGTCCCTCAGTAACAATTCTGTGGCCCTGAGTAACAGTTCTGTGGCCCTCAGTAACAATTCTGTGTCTGTGTGGCCCTCAGTAACAATTCTGTGTCTGTGCGA